ACCAGATACCACGAATATTACTTTGTTGCTGTACTCTAACACAATATCCTCAACCTGGCTCCTGACCCCAAGCCCCAGTTGCAGGCCACAGCTACTTCCGTGAATCGCGTGCTGGGAGCAGTGCGGCCTGAAGGGCGGCAAGTGACTGCTGCTAGGGATCCGGAAGAGTTTGCGCATAAGTTTTTCAAGAAGACAGGGTTTTCATTGCCGATTGAGATAGTTTGTACGGAGCATGAAGGTGAGGAGCAGATCAAAACTTGGCACGTGAGGCCCCAATCCTGGCTACAGTACTTGCTATCATCCTCACCTGAGCTTCTTTCAGGGCATGCAGATGTCAAACGGCAGTTCCTCTGCTTTTGGCAAGCTTTTCGGCTAGGCAACCCCGATCATGCCATTTTCTCTTCCCACTTAGTTAACTGCCTGGACCACTGTGTACCTTTGCTCCTACATGGAGATGAAGGTAGAAGCATGAAGAAGGGAAAGTGCATGATAATGTCCATACAGAGCATTTTAGGCTCTGTTCCCAAACCGAAATCGCGCTCCAGTTGTGATTGCGCCGAAATCCTACAGCAACACCCAAACCTGCCTGTGTTCGGAATGCAGGGTGATGCCAGCGATGCGTACAGCCTTTCAAGCACAGACCGGGTGTTTCTCAAGAACCAGAATACAAATTATCGTGGGTCAAGTTTTCTAAGTCGTTTCTTGCTCTTCAGCTTGGGGTCATGGATTTACCAGAAACACCCGGAAGTGATGGAAACATTGCTGGGAAAGCTAACAGACGACCTTGCTAGTCTGTTCTTTCGCGGGCTTTTAGTTGGCACTGACTGCTGGTTTGCGGCGGTTATTGCCATAAAGGGAGACATGGCTTTCCACAGGCAGACATATCTTCTAACAAGAAGCTATGCCAACGCAGGAACAAAATTTACGGGAGCAATATGCCACATGTGCGAAGCTGGGGGTCAGGGGCCGATGTTTGAGGATTATAGCGAATCTCCATGTTGGGAAACAACTTGTTTCAGAAGCAGGCCTTGGGACCCAGAACATGGAGACCCTACCTTAGCACGGGTACCTGGTTACAGTGCCCCGGAACGCCTTCTCGAGCCAGATCCCTTTCATGTAGTCAAAATGGGAGTTGGAAGGTCCATTGCCGGCGGAATCCTGGTGTATCTTGTTCGTCACACTTTCTTTGACTACGAAGGATGTGATGGCTTCAGCTTTAAGGTGCGCTTGGAACGAGCGCACTCGAGTTTCGCCCTTTTCTGCAAAGCAGAAAAAAGGTATCCATCCTTGCGCAGTTTCACAAAAGCTTTTCTGAACATGAAAAACTTGGCATCTGCACCATGGACAAACACCAAGGGTGCAGATACGCTTCACATGCTACGATGGTTGTACTTTCTCCTTGCTTTGCACTTCACAACGCCTGGAGACTGCAGGCAGCAGTGCAATGCTGACCCAGCAATCCTACAGAAAATGATGAAACTATGCAAAGCTTGCATTGACATGTTTCACTCAGTGCATTCCCATACGTTGTGGATGGAGAGAAGCTGTGCCCGTCGGTTGTATGTCGAGATAATGCGTGTTCTTCGTGGGTACCAGCTTCTTGGTTCACTTTGTTTGAGAGCCCGTTATCGGGCTTTCATACAAAAACCAAAGAATCACGCGCTCCACCACATTGCATGGAAGTTGAGACAGCAGCTAGCCAGTGGAGCACCACTAGTTTTAAACCCAGAAGCGATGTCCTGTGAACAAGATGAAGATTACATTGGCCGTATAGCTAGACTGTCCCGCAAAGTAGATGTGCGCCGGCAGGGCGAACGTGTTTTTCAAAGGCTCTTCTTGAAGATAAAGGCTGTCAGACGACGCCGAAGGACAGGGAAGGCTTGAACCCCAACTGAAGTAGTAATCCTTAAGAACACAAGTGCTAGAATCTGCTAGAACATCCAATCCGACATTGGGCCTCAAATCTCAGCCACTAACATTCCAACTTTATAACTGCAACATAGTAGGTCTGAAAATTGTTTAGGGTGTACCCAGAGCAGAAGTCCCTGTGCCTGCGTTGCCGCCGCACTTCGCAGCCAGTCACCAGAGCATTGAGCGTGTGCAACACAGCTTATGGATTGGCAGGGTTTGGTTGAACTTTCTTAGGGTCCCTTTTTCGTTGTTGTAGTATGTTACATGCATACTTCTTGGGCATTCGCTGGGATATGGCTTCATCATGCCGACCTCTTGGTCGTTTGAGGCTGATAGACCTGCGTGATTGATCCCTTGAGCCCCAAGCTTTAAATCCAAGGCTTGATGTTTGGGGAGCAATGCATACCAATACCCTAAGATCTTGATCCTTATGATTCTGGCCTTGCATAACTCTGTAGCACCCCCTGAAGATAGATGTGATGACCTTCTGGAAGCGCTAAAACACAGCAAGCACATCACGATAATGCTTTAAAGCAGGTTCTGACATGAAATCTTGGATTGATGGAGTTTTCCCTTCGGGCTGATTTTTTGTGTTCGGGCTCATTTACCTCACTCGGGCTTTTTTTCAGGGCTGAACAGGTTCGGGCTGAAAAAAGAGCCTGACATGGATGTAGGTATTAAGGCCCTCAAAAAGAAGGGGGTTTATTAATCATGGGTCTACATTAGCCATCATTGCAGTTCCTCAGGCCCCAGGTATTTCCATGAGGGGCACAGTCTGAGTCCCCAAGCTCCCCCAGTAGGGTTTAGGGTTTGGGGTTTAGGGCTTAGGGTTTAGGGTTATTGCCTGGTTGGTTGTTTGTACGAGTTTCGAACCAATGTTTGACCTAGTTTTGAGGTGCGGTAAATTCTAAACCCTAAACCCTGTGCTGTCCCATGCATGGTTGGCACTTCTAACCTTACCGGGCGGCTGGTGAGGGGCTCAATCTAAGTTAGCTATATAACAGAGAACGAAATGAAAAGAAGCTGGCACATAAAAAGGAAACTGCATGGGACTCAAGACTCTATACTGGCGGGGTTTCAGCAAACTTAAATCGAGGTACCATCACAGGCAAACAATGTTGTCCACCACACATCCATATCATGAAAACTGAGCTCAATTCATTAACAGCTACCCAGCTTACGTTGCTGGCTGTGGAACAAGACCCATGCCTCCAGATACTTTGTGTATCAAAAATGAGGGTTCGCTTTTCGGCTTCTTGATAGTTCGGCATTATTTCCGGGGGGGTGGGGGGGAGGGGGCATATCAGGCGATGCCTTTGTTTGCTTGGAAGACAAAGTATCAAGACCTTAAAGAGGTACCTCGCAGCTATGTTAGTAACCTTTATCCTCGTCGGCGCATCCAACGAACATGGTCGCCTGTAGCCATTTGAGGTATAGA